AAAGTGCAAGTAGATAAATAGGTACCACTCTGGTGGGAAGGTAAACGGTGTTTCCGTGTGCTGCTCTGGTTTGCCAGAAGCGGCTTAGTCATGCTGGCCACATGACCCGGAAGCTGTACACTGGCTCCCTCGGCCAATAAAGCAAAATGAGTGCCGCAACCCCAGAGTCAGCCAATACTGGACCTAATGGTCAGGGGTCCCTTTACCTTTTATCAGTTCCTTGATAAGTGAGTCGAGAAAGTCCATCCATCAAGAATGAGGAAATGGCCTTTGCCATTTTGGTTGCCCGCTGCGCCCTGGGGCTATAATTTGCCAAGTAATTTCCCATGAACATCTGCCAATGCTCTGTGTGGTAAGCAACAGTTAGCCAGCTAGGGATGTTCAACAATACTGGCACATCCCAGTCTATGAGAGGAGCATTTTCTCTCTTCCTCCTCCTCCTCCTCTTCTCTTTCAGTGCTCCTCGCATCTCAAATGAGCTTGTGGTAAATCCTGTCAACTCAACACCTGACAAAAGCACTTTGACGTCAGATGTAAAGAATGCCACCTACGGCTTAATGTCTGGCTTTAGAAAATACAACTGAGAGAGAGAGAGAGAGAGAGAGAGAGAGAGAGTCAGAGCGGGGATGGGGGGGAGAGACTATCAAACCACTCCCGAACATTGCAAACAATGAGTCCTTTTGTCTTCCTCAAGCCCAGTTAAGTCAACCGAGTGGAAATGCTACTTCCATCCTTAATCGACAAATGAAATTAAAGTTGTTGAAAGATGCCTGCGAAACCAGGAAGGCCTTGCTTCTTGCTGAGAGCAGAAGAAAAGCTTAAACCCACCAAATATTTTAGCAGCTTTATTAAATTTCCAATTATATCTGGGATCGTTGCTAAGCGCATGCTTGCAGACGCACCACGAGCATGAGACGCGCAGGTTGGCTTGCAGGAGGGAGATTTAGAGGTTTAAAGGTTTCTTCGGCGCAAAAAGAAAAAAAAGGAAAAGAAAAAGGAGTGTTAATGAAGGAGGCTTGACAATCCGTGACGTTTGTGCAGAGCCAAGGAAGTCAGAGCGGCGTTTCCATGCGGTTAGAGGAGGAGATCCCAGGTCCCCAGCAGCGGAAAGAGATGACAGAACTGGAAGGGACATTGCAGTCTGCAGCAGGAGGGAGTCACATATACACCAGGCAAGCAAGAGGCCCTTTAGCTATATTTGGCACCAAAGTCTGCCTGCAATCTCCTTTCAATCTAGAAGAGGGGAATTAATAATAATAATAATAATAATAATAATAATAATAATAAAAAATTTATCATTTATACCCTGCCCATCTGGCTGAGTTTCCCCAGCCACTCTGGGCAGCTCCCAATCGAGTGTTAAAAACAATACAGCATTAAATATTAGAAACTTCCCTAAACAGGACTGCCTTCAGATATCTTTTAAAGAGAAGATAGCTGCTTATTTCCTTCACATCTGAAGGGAGGGCGTTCCACAGGGCGGGCGCCACTACCAAGAAGGCCCTCTGTCTGGTTCCCTGTAACCTCACTTCTCGCAATGAGGGAACCACCAGAAGGCCCTCGGAGTTGGATCTCAGTGTCCGGGCTGAAGGATGGGGGTGGTGACGCTCCTTCAGGTATACAGGACCGAGGCCATTTAGGGCTTTTAAGGTCAGCACCAACACTTTGAATCGTGCTCGGAAACGTACTGGGAGCCAATGCAGATCTCTCAGGACCGGTGTTATGTGGTCCCGGCAGCCACGTGGGATGTAATGTCCCACGTGGCAAAGTTTATCTCTTAAGCAGTGAATCTTCAGAGCACTGGCTTGTTCTCATGAGAAACTGGGACCGAGCTGGTTTGGGGCAGGTGAGACAGAGGACTGAGACGAAAAGGGGGAAGCAGATTCTGATAACAACAACAGCAAGGATTATTTATGCACAGAAATGGAAGGAAGAAGAAGTTTTCGCCAAAGAAGAATGGATAAACAAGGTGATGGGCTGTGCAGAATTGGCAAAGTTAGAGAACCTAAATGATGATAGTTTTGTGGAAGGTTGGAAGGATCCTGGTTTCACAGGCATCTTTCAACAACTTTAATTTCATCTGTCGATTAAGGATGGAAGGAGTATTTCCACTTGGTTGACTCACTGAGCTTGAGGAAGACAAAAGGACTCGTTCAGATGACTTAAAGAAATAACTACAGTATGATGAATTTGCAAGCAGGATTTGAACTATGAATGGTGTAAGAGACAGAGGGACGCAGGTGGCACTGCACTGTGGTGTAAACCGCTGAGCCTCTTGGGCTTGTGATTCAGGAGGTCGGCGGTTCGAATCCCCGCGACGGGGTGAGCTCCCGCTGCTCTGTCCCAGCTCCTGCCAACCTAGCAGTTCGAAAGTATGTCAAAGTGCAAGCAGAGAAATAGGTACCGCTCCGGCGGGAAGGTAAACGGCATTTCTGTGTGCTGCTCTGGTTCGCCAGAAGCGGCTTAGTCATGCTGGCCACGTGACCCGGAAGCTGTACGCCGGCTCCCTCGGCCCATAGAGTGAGATGAGCACTGCAACCCGAGTCGGCCATGACTGGACCTAATGGTCAGGGGTCCCTTTACCTTTACCTTTAAGAGACAGAAGATAGGGTGCAGCAAAGGAGGAGAAATGAAAAAATACCATGAAAAATGAAAGAAAAAATTATTGTGGATTGGAGTGTATATGTGAAACTTCTGAAATTTAATAAAATATAACTAAAAGAGAAAGGAATGCGGGTGGCACTGTGGGTTAAACCACAGAGACTAGGACTTGCCGATCAGAAGGTCGAGTTATTACCCCTCTATTACTATCCATACCACATAACACCGGTCTTGAAAGACCTACGTTGGCTCCCAGTACATTTCCGAGCACAATTCAAAGTGTTGGTGCTGACCTTTAAAGCCCTAAATGGCCTCGGTCCAGTATACCTGAAGGAGCGTCTCCACCCCCATCGTTCTGCCCGGACACTGAGGTCCAGCTCCGAGGGCCTTCTGGCAGTTCCCTCACTGCAAGAAACAAAGCTACAGGGAACCAGGCAGAGGGCCATATTGGTAGTGGCGCCTGCCCTGTGGAATGCCCTCCCATCAGATGTCAAAGAGATAAACAACTCCTGACATTTAGAAGACATCTGAAGGCAGCCCTGTTCAGGGAAGTTTTTAATGTGTGACATTTTGATGTATTTTTAATCTTTGTTGGAAACCACCCAGAGTGGCTGGGAAAACCAAATATATTATTATGATGATGATTATTATTATTATTACATCATAGGAGCCTACACAACACCAAACACTGTTGCTGTATATAGGTTTTATTTTATTTGTTTTTTATCTTATATTTTGGAAATGTACATCCAGTTTTTTCCCCTTTAGATTTTTTGGGGGGCCCCAAGAGAGTGGGGCCCTGAGCTATAGCTTGTTTAGCTTATACGTAAATCCGGCACTGGTCATAGCCATGGTGGCTTGTAGCTATTGGTAGCCCTGCCCAAAAGGAACCATCACAGGTAAGAGAAAACTGACTGCTCTGACAGTCCAAGTTGACTTCAGCACTGCTGGATAGGACAGCATCCCCACCAGCACAACTGAGGGCAGCAGGGAGAGGACACACAAAGCTCTGCTTCTCAGGAGGATCATTGCAGAGGCAGCAGAGGCTGTTGCCATTACCCCAGTGCCACCCCAGCTGCCTCGCTCTGCTTAATGCAGGGGTTTAAGTTTAAGATCTTACACCAAGACAACAGAAACTGCTATTTAGAATCTATTGGACTCCCTTAAAAAGGTAAAGGGGGACACTGGTGGTGCTGTGGGTTAAACCACAGAGCCTAGGACTTGCAGATTGGAAGGTCAGCGGTTCAAATTCCCACGACAGGGTGAGCTCCCGTTGCTCGGTCCCTGCTCCTGCCCACCTAGCAGTTTGAAAGCACGTCAAAGTGCAAGTAGACCAATAGGTACCACTCCGGCGGGAAGGTAAATGGCATTTCCGTGCGCTGCTCTGGTTTGCCAGAAGCGGCTTAGTCCTGCTGGCCACATGACCCGGAAGCTGTACGCCGGCTCCCTCAGCCAATAAAGCGAGATGAGCGCCGCAACCCCAGAGTCGGCCACGACTGGACCTAATGGTCAGGGGTCCCTTTACCTTTACCTAGGCTCCTATGATGTAAATCATGGGCCCCGCCTGCTAGCTTTCTCCCTAAAATATCACTGGTTTGCTCATTTTTATATAAAGGGTGCCTACAGTCTGCATGGACTGGCTGCACGGCAACAAGTGCAAATGGCTTTAGGTACATACCTATTAGGTCAGTGATGGCCAAACTTGGCCCTCCAGCTATTTTGGGACTACAATTCCCATCATCCCTGACCACTGGTCCTGTTAGCTAGGGATGATGGGAGTTGTAGTCCCAAAAGGAGCTGGAGGGCCAAGTTTGGCCATCACTGTATTAGGTCCATCAATTACCATATAGCATATACTCAACACAAAAAAGCGATGATTTGTTGTTGACAAAGGACAGCTGGACATATAAATGGCCCCAATACCTTCAGTAGCTTAGGGCCTCATCCAACCGAAATCCAGCCCTGACCCAACTAGATATATGCGTAATGAAACTTGGCATTTAGATTTTATGCATATATTTATGACTGCAGTTATTCCCCCTGCTTTTCCCCAAGTTATTATTTCTTTTATTTTAATTGTTGCTATTCTATTTAATGGTTGCTGTCCTCCAGCCCATCATGGTTCATAGAATCGTAGAGTTGCAAAGAATCCCAGGGGTCATCTAGTCCAACCCCCTGCAATGCAGGAATCTCAACTAGATCATCCATGACAGATGGCCCTCCAACCTCTGCTTAGAAACCTCCAAGGAAGGAGAGTCTACCACCTCTCATGGGAGACTCTTCCACTGTCAAACAGCTCTTACTGTCAGAAAGTTCTTCCTGAAGTTTTGCTGGAATCTCCTTTCCTGTAACTTGAAGCCATGGGTTCGAGTCCTACCCTCCAACTCTTACTGTCAGAACGTTTTTCTGCTCAGTGGGTCGGTGCATCTGGCTATTAAGCAGAAGGTTGGTGGTTCAAGCCCACCCAGAGACGGCTGTGGGCAGGATTCCTGCATTGTTGGGGGTTGGACTTGATGACCCTTGGGGTCCCTTCCAACTAGGATTCTGTGATATGATATGCCACCTTTCTCCTCCTTTCGCCAGTGTGGTGTAAGAGCGGTAGTCTTGGAATCTGGTGAACCGGGTTCGCTTCTCCGCTCCTCCACATGCAGCTGCTGGGTGACCTTGGGCTAGTCAGACTTCTTTGAAGTCTCTCAGCCTCACTCACCTCACAGAGTGTTTGTTGTGGGGGAGGAAGGGAAAGGAGAATGTTAGCTGCTTTGAGACTTCTTCGGGTAGTGATAAAGCGGGATATCAAATCCAAACTCCTCTTCTTCTTCTTCTTCTTCTTCTTCTTCTTCTTCTTCTTCTTCTTCTTCTTCTTCCTCCTCCTCCTCCTCCTCCTCCTCCAAGGTGAAATACATGGGTCTTCCCCTCTTCATCTGATCCACACAATGATTGTGTGGGATAGGTTGGGCTGAGTGAGCGCAACTGGCCATGGTCAGTCCTTTGTGGCTGAGTAGGGTTTCGAACCCTGGTCTCCCAGGTCCAAGGAGGCAGATGGTGGCGTGTACATGGTTCTTCCACTCCCCATTTTAGCCTCACAACAACCCTGTGAGGTGGGTTAGGGTGGGGTGTTGTGACTGGCCCAAGCTCATCGTAACGAGCAACAGGGCTGAGTGTGAATCTGAACCTTTTTTAATAATAAAATTTTATTTATATCCCACCCTCCCCAGCCAAAGCGGCTAACAACAGTAAAAATAGCACAATTTACATAAAATCACAGTCAATTAATTGAAATACATTCTAAAATCAGTTCAGAATCAAATTAATGGCAACCATTGGGCTAGAGTTCTGTGAGGATTACCGAAGGAGGGGGTCAGACTGTGCCTTGGCCAAACGCCTAGTGGAACAGCTATGTCTTGCAGGCCCTGTGGAAAGATGTCAAATCCCGCAGGGTCCTAGTCTCTTGTGATAGAGCGTTCCACCAGATCGGAGCCACAGCTGAAAAAGCCCTGGCTCTGGTTGAGGCCAGCCTAACCTCCCTGTGGCCCGGGATCTCCAAGATGTTTTTATTTGAAGACCGTAAGATCCTCCGTGGGACATACCAGGAGAGGTGGTCCCATAGGTACGAGGGTCCTAGGCCTAACCTGACACCCTAACCACTGCACCTCCCTCTCTCTTTAGAATACAGGCGTTTAGTTTGTTCATCCGCATTGCCTGAAGACTGAGACAAGAATGACACAATAGCCCTGTAAGGTCAGTCTGCATTAGCCTGGAGATTGCTTCTCCCTTTTAGAGCTGAAGGCGTTTTGAAAGAAATGTTCTTGCTTGCAGTGTGTGGACTCATTCTACTTTTGCCTCTATTTAGTCAAAGTTTTGTGCAATTCAAAAACCAGCGATTTCTACTTTCCTGAAAGTCATAGCAAGACTGCAGTGTACATTCATGCAAAGTACCACTTTCAACTCTTTTGAAAGAAATTACGTGTTTCTTATTATCCCCATGTTACAGATGGTGTGGGGACGACTGAGGCTGAGAGATAACATAGGCCTACCGATGGTTATCTGCCGAGTTTGTGACGGAAGTGAGATTTGAGTTGGGGATCATTCACAAAGGACCCTGGGCTTGCCCAGAATGCCAAGCCATTGTGGGAACAAACCAAAGGTTCCTCAGCCAGCCACAAACCACGGCTTCGGACCACAGCTTAACCATGGACAGCAGCCAATAAACCGTGAGTTCATGTTAGACTGCTTTGCCTCTTTCATTTCACAAATGTTTTGTGTCACTGAGAAGGCGGGAATTCTGTACTGATTTGCTATGGATGTTTGTATGTGATGCCAATAAAAGGTTTGATGATGATGATGAATAAACCGTGAGACATTCAATCAAATTATTTGCTTCGAATTCCCAGTCCACAGAGCCACTCCAGGAGGATACAATTGCCAATGGTATCTAAAGCTGCTGAAAGACCAGAAAGGACCAACAATGGCCACATCCTAACCTGACCTACCTCACAGGGGTGTTGTGGCCTGTGGAGAAGGGGTTTGGCTGGGGAGAGTCCCAGGGTCCAGGCTGAGAGGCCCAGGAGGCTGAATTCAGCTGCTAGGAATGAGGTTCATCAGCGCTGAATTAAGTATTAATATTTCATTAAGAGAATTCCATTCATAAAAAGAGGGGGTGGGAGAGAGAGAACGAAAGAAAAAAAAGTGAGTGAGAATGACAAAAAGGGGGGGACTGCCCCCCTTACCATACATGTGTATATTCTGATTATCCTAATAATACACATATAATTGCCAATAACCTAATGTGTAAACTCATTCCAAATATCATTGCATTTATCCAAAGAAAGTTTGTATCTATAAGCTGTTGCCAATGTTGTCATGATGTCAAGCCATCAATGAAGGGGAATCATCTCTCTATTCTTCCAATTTGTCAGTTTCAGCCTCAGCACACAGAATCCATTTTCACTGCCCTGCTGTCAATTTCCATACAATGGGTATATAGTTCAAGAGCATATTCACCTCTGAAAATCTTAATTTTTCCCTATAAACTGCTAGGTTGGCAGGAGCAGGGACCAAGCAATGGGAGCTCACCCCGTCGCGGGGATTCGAAACGCTGACCTTCTGATCAGCAAGCCCTAGGCTCTGTGGTTTAACCCACAGCACCACCCGCGTCCCTCCATCGGAGCCTACACAACACCAAAAACACTGTTGCTGTATGTAGGTTTTATTTTATTTGTTTTTTTCATCTTATATTTTGGAAATGTACATCCAGTTTTTTCACCTTTAGTTTTTTTGGGAGCCCCTAAGAGAGTGGGGCCTTAAGCTTTAGCTTGTTTCAGCTTATACGTAAATCCAGCCCTGAGTTGGGTATTTGATACAAACCAAGGAACTACCTTGAGAGTCCCATGGACTGCAAGAAGAACAAACCTGTCCATTCTTCAGGAAATCAGCCCTGAGTGTTCACTGGAAGGACAGATCCTGAAGCTGAGGCTCCAAGACTTTGGCCACCTCATGAGAAGAGAAGACTCCCTGGAAAAGACCTGATGCTGGGAAAGATGGAGGGCACAAGGAGAAGGGGATGACAGAGGACGAGATGGTTGGATGGTGTTCTCGAAGCTACCAGCATGAGTTTGACCAAACTGCGGGAGGCAGTGGAAGACAGGAGTGCCTGGCGTGCTCTGGTCCAGGGGGTCACGAAGAGTCGGACACGACTAAACGACTAAACGACTAAACAACAAGAACAAGAACAACAAAGGAGTCCAGGACCTCCATACACACTATGCTGCCCAGGCCTGCACCCTGGAGAGGTCACTTCAGTGCTGCAAACACAGGCAGGCAGCAGTTATGAGCTATAGAAGCAGAAGCCATACAACATCAAAATGTTCTCATTTCATAGGTTCTCTCTGAAGATCCTGAAGCTGAGGCAGTGGAAAACAGGAGTGCCTGGTGTGCTCTGGTCCAGGGGGTCACAAAGAGTCGGACACGACTAAACGACTAAACAAGAACAACAAAGGAACTACCGGCGTGTCTGTGTGTGTGGATTGACATTTCTGCTTCCCCTCTCCTCCCTGGGTCTTTAAAAGGTGGCATATTTCCTTTTCCCCCTTCTCACCATTACAAAAAGAAAAAGAAAAATCGGGCGAAGAAGAGGAAGGAGATGCAAGGGCTCGTTCTAGTGTGACAATTAAATCCAACCATTTAGCAACTTGCATCTGTAAACAGAGGAGAGCGCGCCTCAAAAGGCGTCTCCAGCCTGCCGGCGAGGAGAAGGGAAGTTTTAAATCTGACGCCCGCATTCTGAAACACATTCCAAAATGTAAATACGCACACGCAAGCATGCGGCTACATATTTTGAAGGAAACAATTGCAAGTCTGCCTCTGTCAAAGATGCCCCCCCCCTTTTTTTGCAAACGGAGAGAGATGCTCCCCAGGTCTTCTCTGGCCTGCCCTCTGCTGGAGAGAAGCCGCAAGCGCAGGCCACGCTGCCTCCAATTAAAATTTGGCAGCTTCCGCTCGCATCTGCTTTAGGAATCCAAAGCGTGAAATTTGGAGTAGCAGGTTTAATATTTGATCCAGCCAAATAAATTTTGCTACAAGGACTTACCTATGGTAGAGGTTTTTTGTGGGGGGGGGCGAGGGGGGGAGTTATTATTCTTGGTTCTCTGCGGTTTTTTTGTTTTTTGTTTTTTTGTTCCCTTGCCACCCAGCCTGTCCAAACTCAAAAAAAAATCTGTCACCAAAGTAAATACGTGGCAGGCATAATTTCATGGCTGTGCAAAAATTTGTTTAATTTCCCATCCGGTACAAATAATTACTTAGCATAATACCACTTAAAATGTGGGCTCTTATCAGGAAACTGCTGATGGCACATTAGAAAAAAAAAGAGAAAAGAAACAAAAAATATATAACTTGAGAAATAATTATGGTATCTTGGCAGGGTGGGGGGGTGAGGTTTGCACTGATCTCCTACAGCGAGGGTCAACCTGACAGCGGACACCAGGTAATATGCAGCTAGCAAAGCGGCCCAGGTTTGACCAAAACATCCATGGAGTCATAGAATTGTAGATAGTTGGAAGGGACCCCCAAAGGCCATTTAGTCCAACCCTCTGCAGTGCGGGAATCACAGCTAGATGGCCATCCAGTTTCTGTTTAGGGAACTCCAGCGGAGGAGAGTCCACCACCTTCCGAGGTGATCCGTTCCACTGTCAAACTGCTCTTGCTGTCAGAAAGATCTTCCTAATCTCTTTTCTTGTCATTTGAATCCTTTGATTCAGGTCCTACTCTCTGGAGCAGTTGAAAACAAGCATGCTCCATCACCCGTGTCCTTCAGATATTTGAAGACAGCTATCACAGCTCCTTTTTTCCAGGCTAAACATACCCAGCTCCTTCAACCGTTCCTCATATGGCTTGGTTTCCAGACCCTTGATCATCCTGGTCGCCCTCCTCTGCACATGTTCCAGCTTGTCAACATCCTTCTTAAATTGTGGCACCC